CAGCATCTTTTTTACATCGTGGTGACCAAAACTGGATGCAGTATTCCAAGTGTGGCCTTACTAAGGCATTGTAAAGTGGTATTAATACTTCACGTGATCTTGATTCTATCCCTCTGTTAATGCAGCCCAGCACTGTGTTGGCTTTTTTGGCAGCTGCAGCACACGGCTGGCTCATATCTAAGTGATTGTCCACTAGGACGCCGAGATCCCTCTCACAGTTACTACTATTGAGCAAGGTACCCCCTATACTATACCTGTACATTTGGTTTTTCTTGCCTAAATGTAGAACCTTACTTTTTTCACCATTGAATTTCATTTTGTTAGATAGCACCCAGTGTTCAAGTCTGTCCAGGTCCTCCTGTATCCTATGTAAGGGTGTAGGTCTATACATATGTTATATACAGTATGTTTTTAAATGTGTGTTATGCATGTATACACTTTTGAGAGCAGGCAACAGAATTTCATTTTTAATGTGGGCCAGTGTGCCCACATTAAATGACAATAAAGGTTATCTTAACTCACTGCAGCTGTTAAGTGAATCGTGCAGTTGCTAAGCGAATCTAGACTCGCCCATTGATTTAGCTTGTTGAAAGCTGACTGGGAAGCTCATAGGTCATGGCAATCACATGATCCTGGCCTGCTGCAATCTTTATAAATAAGAGTACATGGCAGCTGCCAAGCACCTTATTATTATTATTATTATTATTATTATTATATTATTTATTGAATTTATATACCGCCCTATCTCCCTTACGGGACTCAGGGCGGTGAACAGGCGATAATAAAAACCACGATAAATATACACAAATTTCTGTTCTAAAATCAAATTAAATAACAGGCCTGCTCTAAAAATACCCCATGCAAAACCCCCACTAAAACATAAACTATGCCAGGCCGGCCGCACGGAATAGATGGGCCTTCAGGGCTCGTCGAAAAAGGCGCAGGTCCGCAACTGTACGTAGGTTGGGGGGTAGGTCATTCCAGAGGGCAGGAGCTGCCACAATTTTGAACAATATCAATATCAACTTTGTGAACTCTCAAGCTTCTTCTTTTCGCTATGTATTCAAGACAGATAGTGATTAATATGTATATGTATTTATATGTTGTTGTTGTTCGTCCATCGATTTCGATGAAAACCTTGACATCTTATGGATTATGGGCCATCAGCGGTGTGTCCGTAGATGGCTGATGAGACCGATGTTAGCATGGAATGTTCTGCCACATACTGAACATAGAAATGTGGACACTATTGCTTCAGCATTTGCAGCTCTGGCTTTACGGAGTGCTCGCTTCTCTTGTGCCAAGATTGTCCTTCTGTGTTCATATGTCTGGCAACCCTGGTAAACTAGGGTACGCCATGTCAGTCGATCATGCGCCAAAAATTCCCAAGATATCCAGGGACTTGAGAGATGCTTTCAGCGTGTCTTTATGTTATATATAGCATGTTTATATGTGTTATGTATGTGTACACTTTTGAGACCAAGCAACAGAATTTCATTTTTATGTATGCCAATTTGCCCACAGTAAAAAAATGACAGTCATCCATCCATCCATCCATCCATCCATCCATCCATCCATCCATCTATCTATCTATCTATCTATCTTATTCTTTTATTTACACATTCTGTAGTAATGGCTATTTTATTGGCCATGATTTGTGCTACCTTGCTTCAGTATAAATATACAGGTAGTCCTCGACTTACAACCGTTCATTTAGTGACCGTTCGAAGTTAAAACAGCCCTGAAAAAAATGACTTATGATCGTTTTTCACACTTATGACCACTGCAGCATCCCCAGGGTCATGTAATCAAAATTTGGGCGCTTGGCAACCAACATGTATTTACGATGGTTGCAGCATCCTGGGGTCATGTGATCACCATCTGTAACTTTCCCAGTCGGCTTCCGACAAGCAAAGTCAATTGGGGAAGCTGGATTGACTTAATGACCACGTGATTCACTTAACAACTGCAACGATTCACTTAACGGCTGTGGCAAGAAAAGGGGCAAAACTCACTTAACTGCTCTGCTTAGCAACTGAAATTTTGGGCTCACTTGTGGTCATAAGTCGAGGACTACCTGTACAATAAAACAATACGAAGTGTGAATATTAAGTGTGGAGTAATGAAACATCTGCAAGAAAACAGCTGTTGCTCAGACAGCAACAAGGATCCTACAATCCAACCCTGAACTACAAATATTCTTTTCTATTGGTACAATATGAAGTGCCCAGAAATTCTGCAGTGAATGATTAAAAAATTTAAAATCAAAACCTATATATCTTGATTGGTAAAAGGTCATTTTCTGATATTGAAAAATAAATGACACAAAGCAAAGTTGAAAATCCCATCTCTGATTGTTTCCTGCTTCAGTTGTGACGAGGACTCTAGAGCAGGGGTAGGCAAACTTGGCTCTTTTATGACTTGTGGACTTCAACTCCCAGAATTCCTGAGCCAGCCATGCTGAGAAGAAATTGAGAGGTTTCCATACTTAGCCATGCCGGCTTAGGAATTCTGGGAGTTGAAATCCACAATTCATAAAAGAGCCAAGGTTGCCTATCCCTGCTCTAGAGTCAAGCTCAACAACTACACAGGTCTATGTGATCCAGTTTTCCCTGGAGTTTGAATTTGTTCTGTAGGAGCAGAAGATCTGAAAAAAAGATCTCAGATGTTGCTGGATACTAACTTCTATCATCCCTGACCTTTGGCCATGCTGTCTTGAGGCTGATGGGCATTGGAGCCCTAACATGGGGAGGATCATGACCTCAGCTCTCATTTAGGCTCTTATAGATCAAAACAACATTGAATTGACTAACTTTTTCCAATTGACAAGAGGTGCATTTCATTTCTCCCAAATAAAACTTGAAAGCTCTGTTGTTTATACATACCTAAAAAAAATTATTTTCATTTTTAGTTCATGAATCTATATGACTGATAAACTCCTCCACTGTCATATTCTGCACGAGTCTGTCTCTCCCTTTCTTTTAATCAGTTGCTCCAAAGTAATTGGTTCTAGACCGGGGTGGGTAAGTATAGCAACTTTACGGCCTGTGGACTTCAATTCCCAGAATTCTATGGGAAGCATACAAAATAATAAAAACATAATAATAAATAACTGTATCTGAATTGGTATCATAAGCATAGCTGGCTCAGGAATTCCAGGAGTTGAAGTCCACAGGTCATAAAGTTGCCATACAGTATAACAGAGTTGGAAGGGACCTTGGAGGTCTTCTAGTCTAACCCCCTACTCAAGCAGGAAACCCTTTACCATTTCAGACAAATGGTTGTCCAATCTCTTCTTAAAAACTTCCAGTGTTGGAGCATTCACAACTTCTGGAGGCAAGTCATTTTACTGATTAATTTTTCTCACTGTGAGGAAATTTCTCAGTTCTAGGTTGCTTCTCTCCTTGATTAGTTTCCATCTATTGCTTCCTGTCCTTCCTTCAGGTGCTTTGACCACTCCTGGTCTAGGTAATAGGTTCAGACAGATGCTTGAATTCCATGGCTGAAAGTAAAAAGCTAAAAGAACAAGCTGCTTTAAACCACGAGTAAGGATACCTTATGACATGGAATACTGTATATCAGCACTAACCTGGTTTGTAGGGAAAGGTTGGATGAAACTGCTGGAAGCCTGTGTGGTGGCTGCACCCATTGGTGCCGCCATGTTGATCCCCACCAATGTTGGTCCTATACTAAGAGGCATGGAAACCGATGGCCCAGGAGGCATCATAGACTGTTGGCTCACTGTGACAGGGATGGCCATCTGAAGCCCACTTAAGGTAGGGATGGGGGCAGAAGGAAACTGGTTTAAACCTTCAGGGCTCATGGCTGGAACTCCTCTCTGTATGAGGGGGAAAAAATACCAGAAAACAGAGTGTTCACACAACCAAGTCAGTTAAAGCATTTGCACACCATGTAAAACTTAATTGGTGCTAACCTTAGTTTTGGTTGAATGTGTTGTGTAAAGCAGCTTGGCTAGTTTATTTCAGCATGTTGTGAAACCCAGAAAATGAATTACAAGTAGTCCTCGACTTACGACTGGTTGTTTGGCCACTGTTCAAAGTTATGGTGGAACCTTAGAACCCCGACGTCAACCCCCCCGGTCACGTGACCACATTTTGCCTGCTCAGCAACTCTCCTGCATTTATGGCTATTTGCTGTGGATCCCAGGACCACAATTTACATTTCTGCTAGAAATCGGTGTGTACTTTCGGGTTCCAGCAAAACCTGCTCCATAGCGAACAATAGCTTAACAACTGTGGTGGTTGTTTAACAACCAAGGCGTTTGCTTAGCAGCTGCTGCAAAAACAGTCGTAACATTGGGTCAGGTCACATGATATTCCGCTTTAACAACCAGCATGATATCTGATCATAATTGCCACACACAATTACGATTGTAAGTCAAGGACCGCCTGTAATGCAGTAAAAACTATTTATTTATTTATTACATTTTATGCCATCCATCTTCCCTATAATGTGACTCCAGATGGACTTATGAGTTATAAAATAAGTAAAAAAAATAATCATTAAAGTCAGGGGTCTTCAAACTTGGCAACTTTTAAGACTTGTGGACTTCAACTCCCAGAATTCCTCAGCCAGCCCTGAGGGCTGGCTGAGGAATTCTGGGTGTTGAAGTCCACAAGTCTTAAAAGTTGCCAAGTTTGAAAACCCCTGGATTATAATGATAAAACTACAGTATACCAAAAGCAGGAGCAAAAGATGGATGGGATGAGGACGAGGTTTTCTTACCAAGTCAGCCAACTCCAATGGTGAGCACCCCCGTTGAGGCCCCAAGCCAACCAGCAAAATCAAGTTTTGACACCCTTCTGAAAGGCTTAAAGCAGAGGTCCCCAACCTTTTGGGTACCAGGGACCGGTTCCATGGAGAAAGGCTTTTCCGTGAACCGAAGAGTGTGTGGTTTTGTGTGCTGCCTGCATCCCACGGATGGGGCTTTGCTTGTTTGTGCGGACCGGTTGCTGGTAAGCCGTGGCCCGGTACTGGCCCACGAACCGGGGGCCGGGGACCCCTGGTTTAAAGGGTGGGAGCAGTTTTCACATCCAGTGGTCGAGTGGAGGCTCTTGTTTCTGTTTTTGCCCACCAGAAAGTTTTTGCCCACTAGTGGGTTTCACTCACAAAACGATTAAGTCCACTTACTTCCCATGCCTTGTGCTTCCTTCCCCCCCCCACCGGAAAAACGGCTTACAGTTATACCGATGGTTGACTGTTACCTCTGCAAATTTATGTACCCATGCTCTAATTTTAGGATATTGCACCCCGATTCATAAGCAAAAAAAATTCCGATATGACACTTTAAACACAAGTGGTGAATAAGAGCTTTGTGGGAGGACGCCGTTGATTTTTCTCTCCCTAGAATGCTATTTTTGCCATGTAACTGTAGTTATCCTGGTTATTTTTAGTATTTGTATGTTGCTGTTTTTGCTTTTGGATGCTGTTTTAAAAATGACAGACTTAGATGGCATCCAAAGCTGTGTAGATGGTGCAGTGGTTAGAATGCAGTACTGCAGGCTACTTCTGCTGACTCCCGGCTGCCAGCAGTCTGGCAGTTCAAGTCTCACCGATTCAAGGCTGATTCAGCCTTCCATTCTTCCAAGGTCCGTAAAATGAGGACTCAGATTGTTGGGGGCCATAGGCTGACTCTGTAAACCGCTTAGAGAGGGCTGTAAAGCACTGTGAAGCGGTATAGAAGTCTGAGTACTATTGCTATCTGTGTATATACCAGGGGTAGGCAACCTTGGCTTTTATGACTCGTGGACTTCAACTCCCAGAATTCCTGGGCCGGCATGGCTCAGCATGGAAACCTCTTTCTTCTCAGCATGGCTGGCTCAGGAATTCTGGGAATTGAAGTCCACGAGTCATAAAAGAGCCAAGGTTGCCTACCCCTGGTATATACTGATATCTATATGAGGTATTGGTGACCACTTTAAAGCCCTTCGTGGCACAGGTCCAGGTTACTTGAGGGACTGTCTCACCCCACTGGGATTGGCCCATCCTACTCGTGCCGTCAGAGGAGGCATGCTGTTGCTCCTAACTCTCTGGAACATCTTGCCCCCTCCCTAATGTGAGACTGACCCCAACTTTCCTATCCTTTCATACGGGCCTAAAATCTTGGCTTCTGCCTCCTCGGCTGGCATGAGTGTGACAGGCCGATCCCAATGGGGTGAGACGGTCCCTCAAGTAACTGGACCCATGCCACGAAGGGCTATGCCACGTGCCCCAATGGGGGAACAGCACAGTGGAGGTGGCTCATCGGGTAACAACAGATGGGATCCAAAGTAGTTCTTTTTTGCTGAAACGAGTTGGACAGGCTAGTCCAGGGGTAGGCAACCTCGGCTCTTTTATGACTCGTGGACTTCAACTCCCAGAATTCCTGAGTCAGCTGTAGCTGACTCAGGAATTCTGGGAGTTGAAGTCCACGAGTCATAAAAGAGCCGAGGTTGCCTACCCCTGGGCTAGTCCCATTAAGGTGAGATGGCTCCTCAGATTACAAACGTTTTACATCTCCATTACCTTTTCATGTTCCACAGGGGAATTCTGACAATCTTAACTGAAGATACTGTAAATGCTAGGAGTACAGATAGTCCTCGACTTATGTCCACAATTGAGCCCAAAATTTCTGCTGCCAAGTGAGACACTTGTTCGGTGAATTTTGCCCCATTTTACAACCTTTCTTACCAGAGTTGTTAAGTGAATCACTGCGGTTGTTAAGTTAGTAACCTGGTTGTGAAGTGAATCTGGCTTCCCCATTGACTTTGTTTGTCAGAAGGACGCAAAAGGGGATCACATGACCCTGGGACCCTGCAACTGTCATAAATATGAGTCAGTTGCCATGCGTCTGCATTTTGTCATACAGCCACGGGGATGCTGCAATGGTCATAAGGATGGAAAACAATCATATCTCACTTTTTTCAGTGTCGTTATAATTTCGAACAGTCACTAAATGAACTGCTGTAAGTTGAGAAGTATCTGTATTTGCAGTAACACTGCTCCTAGACCAGGGGTAGGCAACCTTGGCTCTTTTATGACTCGTGGACTTCAACTCCCAGAATTCCTGAGCCAGCCATGCTGAGGGGAAAGGGAGAGTTTCCAAGCTGAGCCATGCTGGCTCAGGAATTCTGGGAGTTGAAGTCCACGAGTCATAAAAGAGCCAAGGTTGCCTACCCCTGTCCTAGACAGACAAGTCATAAGGAGCCATAAGTCATAAGGAATCCGTTTTATCTTTGATTCTGATTCCTACCTGAGTTAATGCAATCATAGCCAAAACGGTGTAGAGTTCCTCTTTTGTCAGCTTCCCTGGAGTGGTGCGATTGGCTAAGGCCCAAATTTGTCCAAGAGTTTCTCTGGGAAGCCCAGAGGACATCAGAATTGGATAGAGTTTGCCGGTATCTATCCCGGATGGTGTCATGGTGGTTTCGAGAATCTTCTTATAAAGATCTGTGAAGGAAAGAATTGGTTCCAAGAGACTAAATACTGAAAAATTCAAGCAAAATTCAAAAGGCCGTGCCTTTTCTGCCCACAAATATTAACAATAATTTATTTATTTAATTTATATCCCATCTTTATTATTTTAATAAACAACTCAAGGCGAAGAGTTATGTCTAGTGCTTCTTCTTCCTCTTATTTTCCCCACGACAACCCTGTGAGGCGAGTTGGGCCGAGAAAGACTGAAAAAGTCACTCGGCTGGCTTTCAATGCTAAGACAGGGCTTAAGATTATGCCTTAACCCGTACACCAGCGGCCCCTCAACCTTGGGCGTCAGGGACCGGTTCCGTGGAGAGAGGTTTTCCCATGGACTGGAGGGGGGAGTGGTTTCGTGTGCTGCCTGCATCCCATGGATGGGGTTTTGCTTGTTTGCACGCCCTGGTTTCTGGCATGCCGCGGACCGGTGCCGATCTACAGACCGGGGGTTGGGGACCTCTGCCCTAGACCAAACTGGCAAAGATTAGGAATTCAGTCATCAAAACTGAACTGCTCCAAAGAGGTCACTTTCCTTAAATGAGGATGGCATTTGCCTTTTACTAAATTTCACTAACTGCTTCTGAAAGGATAGCTGTGATTTTCTGTGTGTGTGTGTGTGTGTGTGTGAGTGAGAGAGAGAGAGAGAGAGAGAGAGAGAGAGAGAGAGAGAGAGAGGGAGAGAGAGAGAGAGAGAGAGAGAGAGAGAGAGAGAGAGAGAGAGAGAGAGAGAGAGAGAGAGAGAGAGAGAGAGAGAGAGAGAGAGAGAGAGAGAGAGAGAGAGAGAGAGAGAGAGAGAGAGAGCAGTTCATGTGCATAAATGTGCATGCACCTTCAAGTCAGCTTTGACTCCTAGTAACTGTCTGGATAAGACCCTACAATTTTCTTGGCAAGATTTTTCAGTAGTTTGCCACTGTCTTCTTCCTAGGGCTGAGAGAAAGTGACTGGCCTAAGGCCACCCAGCTGGCTTTGAACCTAAGACAGGACTAGAACTCACAATTTCCAGGTTTGTACCCTGGTGCCTTAACCACTTTGGCTTTTTTTAAAAAAATCCTTCTAAATAACAACCTAGACAACAGGATCCAAATTAAAAGTCAATGTTGCCTGATCAAAATTTAACACGGTACTCTGTCAATCATGTAAAGCACAAGAAGAAAACGAGCCTATAATAACACGGAAATGAAATTATGTACAATATTCATCATCGTCATTTTATTAATTATTACCTGGAATTAAATTATCATTGTAAATCCATGGAGGCATTATTTGCTGAATTGGATCCTGTGAAGGAAAAACTCCAACACCTAAGGACACACACACAAACACAAAAAGACAGATATTTAGAAAATAGCTAAAACAAATGACTCATTTGGGACACTTCTATCAGAGTAGTTCAAAGAAAGGAATCAGCTCTCCAAAGATAGTTAAAGAAATAAAAAGTGATTGGTTAAAAAAAAAACAAGCAAGTGTTGTTGCATTCAAATCAGAGCTCTGGAGCAAAGGGCAACAGCTGTAACTTTCTGCAAAACACTCTTGGGGAGATGAACAACCACATCAAAAAAGCAAGCACAAAAATCCATTTAGAAGTTTAAGTGCTCCCAGATACCTAAAATAAGTAGAAATACCACTGCTGATGCTTTTGTAAATGTGCTTAAATAGGATTAGAAACTGAGCTAGACTTAGGTTAACAGCTTATGCGTGACCAAAGAAAACAGGAGGGCATCAAATGGCACAAATGTTGCAGGTGTTAATACTGACGTGCAGTATAGGTGTGGGTGAAAAGGTCATCAAAATGGATGTACAATGAATAACTTGCAAAACTGTGGTACTCCATACACTCCTGTAAGATGGGCCATCGTATAAATATGATAAATAAAAATAAAAGATGCAATTGGGTGATCGTTCAGCAGGCGGTTAAGCCGGTTACTCAACTGCTGCTAATGCATCAAGGTCCTGTCTATTCTTGGGTGTGTTTTTTTAATCTTAAAACTGAACAGTCCTTTAAGCAGAAGTTGGCAACTTTAGATTATTGGAAGGAAGGAAGGAAGGAAGGAAGGAAGGAAGGAAGGAAGGAAGGAAGGAAGGAAGGAAGGAAGGAAGGAAGTTTTTATGCACCACTGGAGAGCCTAATCCCAGTTAGTAGCACTAGGTGACCTTTCCAACTTGGGTGTCTTGTCACTTCTAAGCATAAATTACGTACTACAAGATGAAATCTTCACTTTTCTCAACTATAACACCTACTTCCTTCAAGCCTGCATCACTGTTAGGCCATCTCCACCAAACTGGCACCCATAACAAGTTAGAGGATTGGAATTCTGGGAATCGTAGTCCTAGCACGTCTGTAAAGTGGCAAGTTGGAGAAGGGTGCTTAGAGCAAATGAGGGCCAATTCTCCTTGGGCAAGTGAATGACAGCAAAGAGGAGGAGGAGGAGGAGGAGGAGGAGGAGAATGTTTTGCTTGGAAAAGGGAACAGGCTCAAAACTCATGCAAAAAGCTGGTTAAGAACCAATACTGCAGACATGTCAAACACAAGGCCCAGGGGCCGGATGCGGCCCGCGAAGTGGTTTCATGTGGCCCGCAAAGCCATCCTGGAAACAGTGAGGGAACGGCCCCCTCTGCCTTGGCCCTGGCCCTGGCCAGCTGGGAGCTAATGTACAATTCTGTGGTGGCCATCTATGCTGAAACGCATTCAGTCTTAGCTCCATAAGCCACCTTCCCACCCGCATGGCCTGAGAGAAACAGTGAGGCTCCTCCAGTGGACCATGCCTTGGCGCTTGCCCTGGTCCCACCCCCTTCTGCCAGAGACCCTCAGATCTGTCCCACTCCTGCCCAGGCCCCCACAGGCCCCCTTGACGCGAACGGTGTAGAGCTGGCCACCCCCACCCAGCAGGCCACCCCCACCCCCACCCAGTAGGCCGCACCCACCTGGCCACACCCACCCGGCCCGAGGGCAACCACAATGCTGATGCGGCCCTCAATGAAATTGAGTTTGACACCCCTGCAATACTGTATTATGTGGTAAGTCAGGATAAAAAGATGCTTCAGTGTTATTATTCAAGCAAGGATTCAGAGCAAAATTACCCAGCATTCACCTTACGAGGTTAGAACAGTGAAGCAGCATCCACCTGGCTGAAAACAACAGATTTGCTCACCGCGCTCTTGAACTGGCAGCTTTTGGTCTGAAGCCTTGTTTGCCTCTGGACAGGGGGTTCCCTTGGGAAGTTCCCCTAGGGACTTCCTGCCACTGGCTGCTAACTGGGGACCAGGGCTGTTTACAGCTGAAGCGGCAGCACTGAGCTCAACCTCAGACGCCTTATGTTTGATCTGCCCAAATTCACTCAACCCGCAAGTTGCCAAGGGCTTGTCTTCTAAGAAACAGCCTGGGTGAATAAAAGGAGGAATTAGACGCACTTGCTAAATTGCACTTCAGTTCAGAGCTTAATCCCGTTCTTTAATCCCACAGGCAAAAGGGGGAAAACACCAAATGCACCCACAGCCCAAGAAATACAGTAGTGGCCAAAATTGTGGAAACCGTTTGGGGAAAGTGTATTTTTGAGGTTTGATCGCTAATAACATCACTTTTTTGGGGGAGTAGTACCATAAAATTATATATCAATGGAAAGATAATTTAATCAAGAATGTAATGCACCAAAGTTTGTTCAATTATCTGTACTATGAAAAGTTATAGCCAAATAACCAGAAAAAGGAAGCACAACTTGCTTAGGTTGATATCAGGTAGCTTTCTTTCATCTGATTGTAGCCAATGAGCGTGAGTGTTTAGAGAGCCAATCAGGTGTTATCTTGTTTTGGCAATGAGCCAATCAGATCACAGGAGGATCCGGTTATTGATGTCATGGATTACATTTGTCAGTGTGTTATGTGATCGTTATCTAGTTGGTTGGGGTTTTTTGTGTTCTTTCATTGAGTGAGCTTGTAAAACGTAATAAAATTAAAGTAATGGTGCAAAGAGTTGACTGGTTGCCCAGAAAGCGATGTAAAATAGTATTATGAAGTGAACAAGGCTACAGTTATAAAGAAATTAAAAGAAAAATGGGTGGAAACTTAACCAAAGGTGGCATTTCTACTGTACACTTTTCCCAAAAGGTTTCCACAATTTTGGCCACTACTGTAAGGACTGGTGTGTGACTCAGTAACAATTTTCAAAGAGGACAACTGTTACTGGGCCACACCAGTCCTTATTTGTAGGGCTTCTTTCAGATTCTGCATTGCAACAGATTCTGCCAATACAGAGAGAGTCCTTGACTTAGGACCCTAATGGAACTTGCCCATCCTGAATGTAAGTCACGAGGGTCATAAACGAAACCACTTTTACGCTGCGAAAGTTGACAGAGTTAGCAGAGATGGCGAAATCGACTGCTTTAATTAAAGGGGGAAAAAACCCACAATTGCTTTTGTTTCTACTTGGAAACCGCTTCTGGACTTTTTGTGTTTTGAGGTGGCAAAAAATGAAATCTTGATTTTGGGTTTTACCGGTTAACCAGGGGTAGGCAACCTTGGCTCTTTTATGACTTGTGGACTTCAACTCCCAGAATTCCTCAGCCAGCATGGCTCAACTTGGAAACTCTCCTTTTCCCTCAGCATGGCTGGCTCAGGAATTCTGGGAGTTGAAGTCCACGAGTCATAAAAGAGCCAAGGTTGCCTACCCCTGGGTTAGACAGATTTGTTGTGATAGAAGTGGCTAATTTATACTGCTATGTAAAAGTAAAAAGTTGAGGTGTCTTATTATCTTATTCTACTGCACCAAAGAGAGTCGGAAGTCAATGGTTTTTCTTTCTTTCTTTTTCCTCTTTGATCTACTCTTTCCCCTTCCTTTCTCCCTCCCTTATTTTTCTACTGTTTTCTTTTGTATTTTTGTATTTTATATTATAAACTAATAAAAAAAAAATTTAAAATAAAGTAAGCAAAACCAATTTTACGACATTTTTTGCAGCGGTCATTAAGTAAACCGCTGTGAGCCGGTCCCGCCAAAAACTGGAGGTAAATGCCAGTTTTCGGCAAAAATGTCATAAACAGGATGCTGCAAATGTAAATGTAAATGCAGGCTGGTTGCCAAGTGTCCAACATGCAGTCATGCTGGAATTCTGGAACTGGGTCATAAGCATCCCTAGGAACGTCTGTTGTAACTTTTAATGGTCGCTAAGGGACTAGTTATAAGTTAAGTACGACCTGTATTAAGCATACCCAGAATTCAGCAGGACAGGAAAAGGGACAAGTGATGCATTAGCCTTTAAAAAAAATATTAAGATAATTTCTTACATTCTGAAAGTAAAGGACTGTAACTGAGACTAATCCAACACCTCCAGTCTGCAAATTTGGCCTGATTGTTTTTAAATCTACCAGAAAGCTTTAAATTGTTAAATTGTAAATGTAAATTAAATTTAAATCTACTAGAACAATTTAAATTGTAAAAAGGCCTGGGGGGTCCCAAGGAAGTGGAGATACGTGGCTCCATTGAGGTGGATATAATCATTCTCTCTTTGTCTGGGGTTTATATATTTTTGCTCCTAATAATATTTAATTTTTAACATTGGTTTTTATGCTTTTATGATTGGTTTATTTATGTGTCATTTTATCTGGGGGTTGTCTGCTGGCCGGAGTGGCTTTTCATGAGATGGGCAGTCACACAAATTTGATAAATAAAATAATAAAATGTATTTTATTTTATTTTTAAAATTCACTGACCGCTCATCTTACCACAGGGTAAAATAATAATAATAATAATAATAATAATAATAATAATAATAATAATAATAATAATAATAATAATAATAATAATAATAATAATAATAATAATAATAATAATAATAATAATAATAATTCTGCTTTTCTGATCTGAAAATGCTAAGGTTTCTTTCTTTATGTACTATCTGGTCAGAAATCTGTTTGTCAAATGCCTTGATATATATGTCAAGGTGATATAAATGCTTTTATATATATATTTATATACATCACTTGGCTATAGTGGCTGTTCTTTCTGCAAAAATTTGGTGCTGATTTATTTATTAGGGGTACTATTTCTCTCCTAGAATTCAGGATTAGAGCGAGAAAATATATTTATTGCTCCTGCATTAAGGGCTACGTCAAGAGGCACCTCCATCTATGCATGTAGTCTTTGACTTACGACCACAAACTGGGACAAGAATTTCCATTACTAAGCAAGGTGGTTAAGTGAGTTGTATCTGATTTCATCACCTTTTTTGCTTGTTGATTGTTAAGTGAATCAATCAAACCCAGCCTGCCCCCATTGACTTTGCTTGTGGCAAACAGGCTGGAAGTTTGCAAATGGAGATCACATGACCCAGGAACATTGCAACTGTCATAAATACAAACCAGTTGTCAAGCATCCAAATTTTGATCACGTGACCAAGGGAAGGCTGCAACCGTTGTGCGAAAATGTTACTTTTTTTTTATCGGTATTAACTTCAAATAGTCACTAAACGAACGGTTGCTAAGTCAAGGACCACCTGTATATTTTATTCCACGAAAGACCACGGTGTGTTACCTGTTTTCTGAGTGTTTTGTGAAGCTGGAGAAGGAGAGAAATAGGGTACTGGTCCCACAGCGCCCTGGAGGACGGAGGTTACAGGAAACTGGGCTGGAGGGAGAGGGTGGGCCACAGCCTTCTCTGAAAGCCGCTGCCCAGCTTGAGAAGCAGGACGACAAGACTGAAAAGGCTGGGAAGAGGTTGGAGGCACAAATGGCGGGGCTTCGACAGGTCCCTGAATAAAGTCACTAAACTCCTCATCGTCAAGAAAGGCGGTAGTTTGGGAGACAGACACGGTAGAATGAGATGGTTTGGGATGATCTGTGAAATGGAATGAACACAGACATGTACATACACACGAGATGGAAACCCCTGGAGGAAAACGAGCCTAAAAATATATATATATGTATAAAATAGAAGTGCCCGTTTCTAGGACCTACAAGATGGTATTAGGAGGGAATGGGGCACTCGGGCAACGCAAAGTCCCACAATTTTATGGTATTACTCGCTTGCCCTGCCAAAGAGATAAGTGGCTTCTGAACTTCACGTTGCAAAGGGGGAAAAAAATCCTATTTTTTCTGCAAGAGGTGAAAGGGAGAAGGAGCTGCTTCCCCTCTATAGTCCCCATTCCTGCTTTTTATAAGCATTAAAATCACTTGATTCAAATGGCTCTAATTAAAATGCTGAGAGCACAGAGGACTTTTATCACTTAGATGGCACATTCACAACTGAGTTCCCTGCTAGAGAGAAAAGTGGGATCAACTCTTTTAGAAAGCGGAGAATTTACCCAGAAGGATCCCAGCTGCCCTATGCTAAATTGGCTATCGCTGATGCACCAGGCGATAAAAATCTTTATTTTTCCCATGCCTGCTTTATTTTTATATGCATTTTATTTTCTTGAGGACATTAGCAGCGTGGTGGCCTGGTGGTGAAGATGCTCGTCTCCCACTAAGGAGAGTTCAATCCTAAGTAGCGGAAGGTGTTTCTCTCTCCGGGTGCCAAGAGAAAATATCTGTTGCAAACTCTAAGTAGGCGTCAGGAAGGGCATCCGGCTGGTAAACTCTCAGCTCCACCCAGTCGCCCTGACCACATTCCAAATCAAGAGATTACAGGGCCGTAAAAAGAAAAAAAAATTCTTGAGGACATTAGTTTTTAATGGCCACAACCAGTAATTAGATGCTCTTAAAAGATAAGAATCTGCCACTACAATTTATATGGATGCAGCTTAAGGTTTTTGAAAAGGTTGCTAGGCTTCAAAGTTCACACATGCTCAATCAACTGAACATAATTTGGCTATCATTTAATAGGGGTGGGATCCTAATTCAATTAAAATTAAATACATTAAAGTCCTGCCGCTCATGATTCAAACGGGTGTTAGATCCCCCCCCCCAGAATGCTTCTTTTTGGCAGGTTTCTCCAAATGTTTCTGGGTATCCTAAAGCTGCATGCATTTTTTTTATTTCAAGATCTTGATCTCCAAGTTGAATACCTGCATTTTTGGGATGAGCAGTTGGTGTGGGATGGAGTTTAGCATCTCTGGAAAATCCATCGAGGTTCCCTTTAATAGCTTCCAGGGCATCATCTCTGCTTTTTTCACCCATCTGAAAACAAATTGACATTAGGATTATGATTGATATTACTGTTATGAAAGAACTCTTAACAGGATTTTCAGCTATTTTAGAAAGCCTGATGCATTTATCACTTGGCAAAAACAAAGCACACTATTTCCACATGGTGGAATTCCTCAGGGAAAATTAGATGAGCAAAATAGAATAGAGCAGAATTCTTTATTGGCCAAGTGTGGTTGGACACACAAGGAATTTGTTTCCGGTGCATAAAAAACCCTTTTTATCTCAAAGCAACTTATCATTTTATATCTTGGTAAAAGAGATAGTCCCTAACTTATGACCAGAATTGGGATCAGAATTTCCACTGTGGTCAAGTCAGTCACACCCAATTTTACAAGATTCCCCCCCCCCAATTAAGCTAATCACTGCAATTGTTAAGTGAATCATGTGGACGTTGACTTTGCTCTTTGGAAACCAGCTGGGAAAGTTGCAAAGGGAGATCACACGATCCCCCAGATGCTGCATCCATTTTAAATACATGCTGGTTGCCAAGGGCCTGAATTCTAATCACAAGACCATGGAGAATGCTGTGATGGTCATAAGTGCAAACTCTAGTCCAGGGGTAGGCAACCTTGGCTCTTTTATGACTCATGGACTTCAACTCCCAGAATTCCTGAGCCAGCCATGCTGAGGAGAAATGGAGAGGTTTCCATGCTGAGCCATGCCGGCTCAGGAATTCTGGGAGTTGAAGTCCACGAGTCATAAAAGAGCCAAGGTTGCCTACCCCTGGACTAGACCTTGTACTTATGACCATCACAGCATTCTCCATGGTCTTGTGATTAGAATTGCCTACCCCTGGTCTAGTCGTAAGTCAGTTTTTCCCCAGTGCTGTTGCAACTTCAAACGGTTGCTAAATGAATGGCGGTAAGTCAAGGACTACCCCATACTGTTTTGTTGAAACACTGGTATTAATTTTTTTTAAAATTCTATTTATTGTTTGAATTTCCCTCCTAACAGAAATTAATTTAAATCCAGCTGGCTTGCCACTGAATAAATTTGCCACCGCGTACCTTTGGTTTCACGCTGCTTAAAAGCCGTAGCTTTTGCTTCTGCTCTTCAAACTGACGCCTTTTTCTTTCTTCCTCCAAAACCTTCTGCTGGTGTTCAAATCGTTTCCTGCAAGATATAATCAATGCTGATTATTGTGTTTCCCCGAAAATAAAACCCGGTCTTACGTATATTTTTTTGCCTCCAAAAGAGGGACCGGGTCTTATTTTTAGGGGATGTCTTACCCGCTTACCTTAGGACCGCCCCAGCCAGGCTTCCCACGCCCCAAAACTGTTGCGCCGCTGCCTGAATTCTTCTGCAGCCGCTTGCAGCTGCACGCCACATGCCACATCACGCTGCCGCCGCCACTCACGACAGGCCGCGTGGCTCCTCACACCGCTCGCAGGATGTGGCTCGTGCCGGTGCTGCTTGCAGCAGGACACGTGGCTTGTCGCACCAGGGCCGCGAGTGGCGGCAGTGACGCGACGAGCCATGCGGCCTCCTGCGATGCACCATGTGGCGTGCGGCCGCAAGTGGCCGCAGAACTCGGGCAGCGACGTGACAGATGTCAGGATGTGGGAGGCCTGGCTGCGGCGGTCCTAAGGTAAGCAGGTATGGGGTGTGTGGGTATTGCGGCCTGTCGCCCGCTGGAGGACTCCGCGACCGACTCAGAGGAGGAACCATAGGAGTGGGCATCGGGCCCAGCATCAGGGCCATCTGAAAGCTCCAATGGGCACAAAAGAATGGAGCTGTCGCAGCCAGGGTCAGAGGCAGAGCCTGGGCCATCCGCCAGCCCCCAGATGGAAAGGCCGAGACCTCCATGCCTTGAGGCAAGTGAGTCAGGAGAGGAGGGTCACAGGGGCCAGTGATTGCGGTAGAGGCTGAGGAGAGAACAACAGCAAGAGGCTATGAGTCTTCGGGGTGGAAGAGTCACCACTGCTAACAGAGCCCCTGCTAACAGAGCCCCACTCTCAGCTGTGGATAAAAGGCAAGGGCGGAGATGAATAGGTGTTGTAGCAACCTATTGTCATGCCTTCCTCCCAGCTGAAATCCGAGGAGGACATGGAGCTGGAACAGGACTCTGTTGAGGCCCAGGAGGAGGTGTCTGTGGCTTTGGTGGACTGTGGGGAAGAGCAGGCTGAGGCAGGCCAGGGCCCTTCAGGTTTGGAACAGGGGAGACAGAGTTCAGGCGAGGAGCAAGCCCCCCCCCACCTGATCCTAGAGCAAAGAGAGTAGAGAGGAGGAGAGAACAAGGTAGGCAGGCTCAATTGCTCGGGAGGAGAGCTGCCGGCCTCACTCCACAAGGCACACCTGGGGATTAAGATTTAAGGAGACGCTGTGGGGTGGGGCATTTGCCGGGAACAAACGTGGTATCTTGGGACAGTTGTGAATTGTGCTCTTGTCTTTGTTTAACCTGGACACCTTGAATACCGGACCGGCTGGTTTCCTGCTTTACAACCAACGCAGACTGCATTTCTGAGTCTCTCCTTGCAGACTGCAGGCAAGCTGAGATTTAAAAGGATTCATTAAGTTTCTGTTTTGTTTTCTTGTTATCTGTCTGGCCTTGAGGACATTGTATACTTCTCTGGCTGTATTGAAATTGCCTTCAGCCAGAGGCAGCTGAAAGGAACGTGTGTGTGTGTGCTTTGGTTGAAGGCTTGCCAGTGTATGTGGGAGCTTTTGGGGAACACTGACAGTTATTAAAGGACTGTTTCTCTTGCCAGTCTGACTGCTTTGTCTCCGTGCGGGGCCCTGGGTCATCACAGTCTCCCTGCCGGAACTCCTGACTCTGATTTGTAAACTTGCCGGAGTTTTCCTCGGATCCTGTGGCGCTGGGAGTTGGAGCGCCTTCTGAGCATGCGCATGTTGGAAAAGAGCCAGTTTGCCTGAAGGACTCTTGCTGCAAGCATGGTGAGAGACTGAGATTAACTCTGGGTTTTGGGAGACCCCTGCAGGGGAAAAGGGAGTGAGCTCCGTTGTTTGGAGGCAACTAAAGACTTAACAATCGGCTGTGTGAAGCTCCTGGCATTGCTGGATAAAAGGAACGTTGGAGATTTACTGGTGCATCTGTTGTGTTGGGGAGTCGGTCAGAACAGTGGGGGAGCTCCACCCCCCTACCACTAGCTTGATTTTTATGCGTGTGCCTGACCCCAAAACTAGAGATAGGTCTTATTTTCAGGGAAACACCTTATTACAGATGTGATTTAGGCCTCATGCTTAGCTGCTATTTCCGCTACTTTGGACCTCGGCCTTATTTGAACAAAGGTAGACTTGGCCTTGGGCATAGGGAAGGAAGTGGCACTCCAGTTTTGGTCACCACGATGTAAAAAAGATGTTGAGACTCTAGAAAGAGTGCAGAGAAGAGCAAAAAAGATGATTAGGGGACTGGAGGCTAAAACATATAAGGAACGGCTGCTGGAATTGGGTCTGTCTAGTTCAATGAAGAGAAGGACGAGGGGGGACATGATGGCAGTGTTCCAATATCTCAGGGGCTGCCCCAAAGAAGAGGGAGTCAAGCTATTCTCCAAAGCGCCTGAAAGCAGGACAAGAAGCAACGGATGGAAACTAACCAAAGAGAGAAGCAACCTAGAACTAAGGGGAAATTTCCTGACAGTTAGAACAATTAACCATTGGAATAACCTGCCTCCAGAAGTGGTGAATGCTCTAACACTGGAAGTTTTTAAGAAGAGACTGGACAGCCATTTGTCCGAAATGATGTAGGGTTTCCTGCCTGAGCAGGGGGTTGGACTCGATGACCTCCAAGGTCCCTTCCAACTTTATTATTATGATGATGATGATGATCATCGCACAGTCAGCCAGATGTTCAGACTGGATTTGGCATTTTGTCTACCTATTGAGTCCTCACCGAGGACCTGGGATAGGCAGATGTGGGTGTTTGATGGTATTACAGATATCGTCACAAGATGGAAGCAGTTCCTAGTAAGGCCGCCTTTTGCAATTGACTAATGGCGAATTTGTCAATGCCGATGATGGTGTCCAAGTGGTGCTCCAGTTGTTTTGGGATTGCACCCAAGGTGCCTATGACTATTGATACCACCCTTGCTTGCTTTTGCCACAGTCTTTCTATTTCTATATGTTATTATTATTATGATCATCGCACAGTCAGCTAGATGTTCAGACTGGATTTGGCATTTTGTCTACCTATCGAGTCCTTACCAAGGACCTGGGATAGGCAGACATGGATGTTTGATGGTACTACAGATGATGATGATGATGATGATGATGATTCAAACGAGGGCAACCCAAGTCACCTCTGAGAAAAGATAGCACAGTCCTGACAAACTGCGAGAAGGAAACTCAAGCTAACTCCACCTCAATTTTGTTTAGCATACATATAGTCCTCGACATACGATTCGTTTAGTGACTGTTCAAAGTTACAACCTCCCTGGAAAAAGTGACTCAGGACAATTTTTTCACGCTTACGACCACTGCAGCATCCTCATGGTCACGTGATCCCTTTGCATTGACAGGCAAAGTCAATGGGGAAGTCAGTCAAGTTACTAACTTAACTACTGCAGCGATTCACTTAACATCTGTGGCAAGGAAGGTTATAAAATAGGGCAAAACGCCCTTAACAAACAAATTAGCAACAGAAATTTTGGGCTCAATTGTAGTCATAAGTCGAGGACTACCTGTAAGATGGGGGGGGGTTTAGAGAAAAAGCCAGAGAGATTTTCAAGATTCTGTTATTCTACTTGACTATAATAAAATAGCATTCCTGCATTCTCAAAGCCAGTCCTACTGTACATTTCTTCATACCTATAAGGCACTGGTGGTGAACCTATGGCACGCGTGCCAGAGGCGGCACTCAGAGCCCTCTCTGTGGGCACGCGCATCGCCACTGCCAGCAGCTTGCGCAGGTCCATTAGGCTGCCGCCGTCACCCAGAGCAGCAGCCCCATCGAGCACAAAGAAGGCGAAGCAGCCAGCTAGCAAGCTCGAGTAGAAGTGGTAGAGCACGCCCACATCCAGCAAACCAAAGGCCACCCCAAGCAGGGAAAGCCAGATCCCCATCGGCACCATGCCCCCCCCCAGTCCCAGCTAGGATTGCGTGCCTTTCCCCACCAACTAGGCTGGGCCTCCTGCCTACCACCCCACCCGCCAGAGACCCCCTGGATCTCCCCCAACCCTGCCCGGCCTCCACAGGCATCTCCCCCATGAGCAGCATCGAGGTGGCCATGCCCACCCTAGCCACACCCACCCAGTCTCCCGTGACAACCGCAGCTATGCCCACCCAGTGGGCCACGCCCACCCTGAGGGCACTACAATGCTGATGCGGCCCTGGCATTTTGCAATAAATAAGTGGGTTTTGGGTTGCGGTTTGGGCACTCGGTCTCTAAAAGGTTCGCCATCACTGCTATAAGGTCTGGGTGCAAATCTCAAGGCTACCAAATAGTAGTACAGGTAACATTAGGATGGTAATGTAGAACCATTACAATTCAGGACCATGTAGACCTTCCAGTTCTGGGTTGCAAAATTCCGGACTATTACTAGATGGCAGCAAAGATAAGCCACCTAGTTCTCTGCTCTCCCTTAGTGGCGGTCCAGATTTCTGCAGCGTAAATTTGGAAACTGGATGCAAAAGGTCTCCTGAGAGACAATCAGGTCCTCGAGACACGATCAAATGAAGTCATCCTCCTGAGTCATGTGTTGAGCATGGCAGGCATATAAATTAATTAATAATAAGATAAAATAAAAAACAAAACAAAACAAAATAATAATCAGACCTATTGTAACAGGTCACTTACTGCTGTTCTTCAACAAACTGCTTCCGCATATCAGGGGTATACTGAGAAGCTGCTGTACGCATTCCAAGGAAGTGACTTTGTCCCATATATGCCATTCCCGCCGTTGGCATCGGACCGAGAGGCATGCCACCCTGTGGACCAAATTAGCAGCTCAATATTAAATAGCGAAAAACAAGGGAGGCAGGGAGAGAAATATATGGTAAAGGATCCAGCAGAGTGGGTTTCAGGAGACTCAAAAATGTATGTGAGCTTTCTTATAATGAGATCTCACCATCTAAATACATGCCCGTTATTTGTCCATGTTATTTCATGTGTATAAAAACATATGAAGAACGGCTGCTGGAATTGGGTATGTCTAGTTCAGGGGTAGGCAACCTTGGCTCTTTTATGACTCGTGGACTTCAACTCCCAGAATTCCTGAGCCAGCCATGCTGAGGAGAAAGGGAGAGGTTTCCATGCTGAGCCATGCTGGCTCAGGAATTCTGGGAGTTGAAGTCCACGGGTCATAAAAGAGCCAAGGTTCCCTCCCCCTGGCCTAGTTTAACAAAAAGAAGGACGAGGGGTGACATGATGGCAGTCTTCCAGTATCTCAGGGATTGAGGCAAGAAAAACCAAATGTACAGGTATAGTATAGGGGGTACCTTGCTCAATAGTAGTAACTGTGAGAGGGACCTCGGAGTCCTAGTGGACAATCACTTAAATATGAGCCAGCAGTGTGCTGCAGCTGCCAAAAAGGCCAACACAGTGCTGGGCTGCATTAACAGAGGGATAGAATCAAGATCACGTGAAGTGTTAATA